AGTTTTGGGATTTATTTTTGTAGACTGATGCTGTTTTCCATGATATTTTGGTGTAATTTGTTTTTAATTTCCCATATATGTTTAGAAAGAATTGTGCTGTTCATGTATTTACTATTTGTAAAGAATGTTTTGTGCAGTTTTCTGCACAATGAAAGATTCCCATTGTAATGTTAAAGGTTTTCTTTCTTTCTTTATCTGAATTTCTGGGATGAGGTATTATCATTATTTACACTTTACATTTAAACTATTGTCCTCATCTTTGTTGTTGTTATCACAACTGTTGTGTCCTTTGACTTTCATCATGTGTATACCAATCTGAATAATCTACAAGGAATTCTGAACTGAACCCTTTATTTAATGTAAGAGGGTAGACTCTTCTTCTTCTTCCACTGCCCATATGTAGTTATATCTTGTCTAGTTCTTATTTTTAGTACTGTTCAGTTAGTTCAGGGCCTGAACTCTCAATTACTATATCACCAAATTCATGAACCAATGCTTTAATCCACTAGTATATTATTGTATAGTAGGACAATTCTGTGGTGAAATTGGAGCCTTAAACCTAACCTGTCTTCTGCTTGTCATGTTGGAGTGCACCCACTGAAACCTTTTGTTTTTGGGAATTAATGTAAGAATGAATTACTGACCAACTAAGGCATATATGTGCCCTTTGAATCTCTATCAAGAGCACTAAATTTTATGTCATTGGGCACTTCAACATGATGTTGCGGTAAACAAGTTTGTCTTACTAGCTCAATTACAACCGAGTAGTAAGTTTGATACTTACTTGATGCTCCATACTTGTGGCCTTGTGCTTCATCTAAGCTTCTGGTTTTGTGTTAAATTGTAAACAGACATGATACTCACCCAAACTATCCAATGATTACCCCATGTTGCATTTCAGTTCTTGATTTTATCAGTGTGCATTTAAAACTGGGAAAGGATGCACTGCATGTTCATAAGGTAACACTGAAAGATCACCATGTTGAGGAATAAGAATGTGAAGCCTGTTTCTCATATTATAAAATTGATGTTTCATTCAGGGCTTTGCCTGCTCATCCTCTAGGTAGGTGATACTTGAGACAACTTCTGCTCAGCTATTCCCCTGTACCAACTCCTTGCCCATCTACTTATCATGACATGGTGGGTGACAAAACAAATGAATGGCACAGGAACCACATGACTGACAAGTCTATTTCCTACCAAGGGTAGGCCAGAACTCTTCCCCAATTATAACATAAGGCCACACCGAAATATAGGCTATTTCTAGTTTTGTTGCCACTTGATCTCCAAAAAACCTCCATCCACTCCTTGTCCTTCAAAGTGGATGTTCCTTAGAGAACCAAACTCAGAAAGGAACCATCTACAGAAACACATGAAATTGATATGATAAAAAAAAAAAAAAAAAAAACTTTTCTATGTGAATGTCTATAATATCACAATTTTTTTTTTTTACTCTATTGTCTACTTTAGTGTTAAAACTCTACATCTGAAATGTAAGTAAAAAATTCTTCCACTTACATGAAGCTGCCAAACTCCCTACCAATTGTCTTGTCTTGTGCCAGATGAAGTTAAACTTAGTAAATACCTATAACCAATTCACCCATGTTACCAAGAATGGCTATGAAAATGATATTGTAAGTTAAAATTCATATCTAAATATATCTTGAAAATTTTACCAACATTGGTTAGTTAATAACAATTGTAAAAATATTGACTTGTAGAATTGAATTTGGTATAAGTGAAAATAAATGTTGAAGTTTTCAGTAATGATTGCTATTGTTTTCAAAGATTAAATACTCTGATGGAAAGACAATGTTTCCTGAACATTTTTTCTTCTTGACAATGACCAAATAATTGAAAATGTTTGGAATGGACCCTCTACTAGACACTAAGTAGAGCCAGAAATAAATAAAAAAAAAAGTCTGGATGATGTAAATACCTCATCATAAAACCAGACATAAGATATTGATAAAAACCTTGATTGATGGGATTTGTGTTTGCTTTTTAAGTTTCCAGTGTCAAGAGATTCTCATGTCATGAATTTAGTTAACTTACAAGTAAAAACAAGAAACAAATTGTGAATTACAGAAGTCTGTACATATATTTAGATATCCTCTTCCCTGTTCAGTTATTAATTCAATATTAATTTTCAGAAAATTATGTGTATAATTTACATATATTCCATTTAACTATTAAGTTCTGTTTTTTTTTTTTTTCAGGCTATTTTAGTGTTCAAACATCAATTAAACTTACAATAATTACAATTAGTGATGCTTTTACACAAATTACCATTAGTAAGTTCAATATATATATATATATATATATAAAATAAATAGTGTTGATAGAGTGGTGACAGTGTTTCATCCTTTCTGAAGTCTAGTTGTTATTTCCAGTATTGATGGGATTTTCCTAACTTTTTGTTTGGAACTATTTTAGTTGTTGTTGCTGCTGTTCTTTGTGATTCTGTAGTACCAAAAGGTTTTCAGCCTTTAACTTGAAAATTCAGCTTGGTCATTTGATCAAATTTTCCAAACTGGACATACATACATTTATATAACAGGTATTGACATTGGCAAAAGTCTTTCATACAATTGTCAGGTCATGGGGTGAAAGAGTTGTCATTTCCAGTGTATTGAGTTATTATTGAATAGGACTAATTATAAGTGGAAAAATGGTTATTTCCTGTTTATTGTATTTTTATGAAGGTTATCAATTATCTAGGCCATGAAGGAGGAGGTCAGATGCCTATATTTCAGACATTTGGGGGGGGGGCCCTAAAATTTAAGTTTTGTATTTACTTTATTTTTTTTAAAATTTAGTGTTAAGTATTGGTATGTATTAATTCATACTAACAGTGTTTTTTATTATTTCATAGATATTTTTTTTTTTACTATCTGTAGTGTATATATATATATATATATATATATATATATACACACACACAAACAGATAGGTAGGTAGGTATGCTTTCTAGCCCACATATTTCATCTCAAAACTTTATCAATGGATTCACTTTCCTTTGAAACACATTTTGCAAAGTTTTTCGTCTTGGTGAAAAAAATGGTTCAGATAGTAATAATGTTTATTAAAGACAATCTCAGAAGAGACTTATCTACAAGAGTCAGATGAATGTTGATTGCATTACAAAAAAACTTATTCTATTAAAGAAGTTCAGCTCTATGGGTGAGTTAATTATATATTTCTCCCAGTGATCCTCGAGCACAGGTTTATAATAAAAAAAAAAAAAAAAAAAAATCAAAAAATCTATGTATTAATTTTTCAGATGAGTCTCATTTGAAAGACTGACTCCGCAAAAAGATCCTTAAGTTTTAGCACGCAAGTCTTACAACGTTTCCAATTATTACAAGTATTTTGCTTTCAGCGGCTTTTTTTTCTTTTTTTAACATTTCCTGGTTTTAGAAAAAAATCTTGAAACCGTCTACTATTATAAAGATACTGCTACTACAAGGGAGATAACTTCCTTTAGACAGACCCCCCCCCCGCCTGCTACAAAAACAATACACCTGATTATCTCCCATTAAAATTTTTTTTCTAAGAGATATTCAAAGCCATAAATTTTTTTCGAAATTCTTTTTTTGCTTGTGTTTTTCTCATCTGCATTCTGGATCTTGCGTCGTGGATCAGATACTTTCATATTTGTTCAAATCTTAGACAGTATCCACCTGCATTTTTGTCTGTTCCCAGTAAGTAAACAAATATTGTGGAAAAATCCAACATGGATTTTTTTTTCTAGAAAATGAGACCATGTTCATTGGCATGTGTTTTTTTTTTTTATTATTATTTGCACAGATAATGTAGTATCACTTTATTTTTCTTTAAAATGCAGATAGGAATGAATACTGGAAAGGAACAGCATTTCACATTTTTTTTTTTGTGAGAATGTAGGGGGATTAAAAAAAAAAAAAAAATTTATATTCAAAATTTTATTTAATAAATGAACAAGTACATAGCACTTGATTCTGGAATGGCCAGCAAGCTAGCTTGTTCCATTTTGAAATAAGATTTAAATTGATGGTTGGATTAGTCAGATGTTGGCGAGCGGCGGGAGGGGGGTAAAGAAAGTCACGACTGATGACAGGCTGTCAATGTTTGTTTACAGATAATTTTGAGCAGAGGGTCTATACTGAGAAATGTTTTATATGGTCTTAAAATATTAGATTCAGTTCTGTTATTTTCTTTATTTTTAAAGTTTCTCTATAAATTTTCTCCTTTAAATTACACGCACAATTTCAGAGACAAAGTGATAACTAATCCAACCAAGTGAAAAAAATCAGCACCCCCTCACACCCGTAAAAATGCTTTATATAAAAAAAAAAAAAAACACATTAAGAATATATTTTGTAAGCAAAATAAGAGACCAAAATTAATGATTGAAAAGGAAGTTTTCTTTGCATAGCTTTAAAGAAAATATCGTATCACCCCCACCCACCAAGTTTTATTTTGAATAGACAAGAATATTTTTTTAAATCCTTACTATTGAGATTAGTGTTCTGATAAAACCATATTGCAAAAACTTTATATAGAAGCTGGCTTTTCAGCAGCTGTCTAGGATTTATAACACTTGTTGCAGAGAGACAGACACACACAGACATTGCCAACCCAACTGTAGCCAAATCTATTATTTGCTCTTTGGCAGCAGACAGGACAACCAAACCTCATTTAATGTTACAAGTATTTTGTGAATTAACTTATTGTTTTAGCATAACATAAAATGATTTTTGTAAAGTGTTTTTGGAACCTGACATTAAACAAGGCACGACTATTTCGGTCTGGGTCTGGAAAATTCTTTGAAATGCATAAAATTAGAGAAGTAGATTTTGCTTCCTCGAGAGCAGTCATGGCAATCAGTTACCATTTGAACACTAAATGTATGAGGTAAGTAAACAATGTATGGTCCTTAGCAACTGGGAAAAAAAAAAAAAAATATGCATAGAATTAAGTAAACTCTTACTCCCTTATTGGCTCTAAATAATAATAGATCACAATTCTGTCTTAACATTGTCAAGATCTTCCAACTCAACATCACTGAGATCAATATCTTCTTCTGTTGGTAACTAGAAAAAGAAAAAAAAAAAAAAAAAGGTTTTTAAATAGATGAAAACCTTGCACAGCAAGTGAAGAAATGCTTGAATTAATGTTTCAATCTGTCTAAGCTAAGAAAATTGATAAAATGACAAAGTGCTATATAATTAATAATATTGTCTCAATTTGTTTATAGTCACAAATTTGCTGTAACCAAAGACCAACCAGAATCATAAATGGCAAACTCCCAACTTCATGTCCTTCATGCATATCAGCCACATAAATGATCTAGAGTTCTCTTCAAATGAAGAGAAGAGACTTGATAACTAGGTGATGTAATATTTAAAATTTTTCTCTCTCTCTCTCCAAGGGAACAAATGTCTGGCTCAAGGCCCTAGCACTCTTATTCCTTTAGTCATCTTCAGAAACAAACCAAAGAGGATAGTGCTGAAGAATTGTTATTTTGGGTAAATAACTTTCAAGCAAGTGTAATAGATAGGTACCTCCACGAGATCACTAAAAAAGAGCATAGCATGATGAAAAAGACACCAAACTTGATGAAAAACATGCTAAACTTGATGAAAAAAATTTATCGTCGAAAAGTTATCATTAAGAGGAAAGATCAGTATTTTTTGGGGTATTTTTTCACATTTTTAATCGTTCATAGCACACCTGAAATTTGTTAAAAAATTTTTTTTTTTTTTTTGAGTCAACAAAATTGACAGATGGCAACCATTTTTTCCCCATTTTATAAAAAAAAAAGAATGACATTGACAGATTCTGTGAGGATAATTTGTTCTACGGAAGGAGAAAAGTGAAATTATTTACATTTAAGTGAACAAGTTATTTACTTCATTATTTTTAAGGAAAACTTTCAGCGCTCTAATTTTTTTTTTGTTTTTTTTTTACTTAGCTTTCATCTTTACATTTACAATGGTTTATGGAAAATATATTATAAAGAAATTAAAGACTTAAGAGTGAGATTAAATTTCATAAGAAAGGTATCTTAATGAATTTATAGGTACCTTTCTTATGAAATTTTATCAGACGTGTACATAAAATACTATAATTTTATATACATAATACATTTTACTGTGTTATTTGTATTTTCATTCATTTTATTAATTTTGATATTTCATTTATGAAAAAAAATGCCATAACTGAGATTAATATAAAAATAAGATCATAAATTTTATAAGATACTGATACTTGTAGGTACCCTTCTTACTTGAAATTAAAAAATCAAATTAACTTCTCCACATGTGTTTTGCAAAAGTAAAGCAGAGAACAATGCTTAACTCAAATATCGCAACTTAATTGTATTCTGGTTGGTCTTCCATACTTTATAATCACAAAATTATATTTCTTAATTACTGCGGGTCTTCTGATTAGTCAAAATCATACGTAAGGACACTTATGAAAGTGGATGTGGTTTTTAACTAATTTTGTAATATTTTAACAACTTAAATGTAAAAATCTATAATTAAAAAAATAAATAATTGTATTAAAAATTCATTATCCATATTCATAAAAACAAAAGCATTTGAAATTAAATAATATATTTGTTTTATTGAGTTTTGTAGGTTACCATTCAGAGCTGATTTTCAGGTGTGTCCAATTAAAAAAAAGAAAAAAAAAATGATTTGCATTCCTCAAAGCCTTGTGTTTTTAACTATTGTAATCACTAAACCCGATGTGATCAAATTTCTAGCGTTTTCATAAAATTAGTTGTTTTGGTAATAAATATAAAAAAAAATATTTCTGCCATGACTTTAATAAAAGAAAACAATAATTTCGATCATCTGTGAATTTCTGAAAGTTACATTAACATCTAACAATTATTTTTATTTTTGCAAGATTTTCCAAATTAATGTGTGTGTCATACAAAAAAAAAAAAAACATGCTAAAAATTGTATGTTATTTTACTAGTTCTGGTGATACAAAGTGAAACAAGGATTTTTAAATGAAAATTCAGATTGTTCTAAAAAGGAAAACTTAAAAAATAATTAAAATAAACCTTGATCATTCCTCTTAATAACAACAAAAATTTAGACGATAAAGTTTTGTTTTCGTCAAGTTTGGCGTCTTTTTCATCATGCTATGCTTTTTTTTTTAGTGATCTTGTGGAGGTACCTATGTAATAGAGGAATACTAGTGTGTCTTGATTCTACGCAAACCTGAAGAGGATTCTACTGTTAATTTACATTAGTATGCACAGGAGACAACCTTGAGTTGGTTTAAACACTTACCTCCTTGTCTTTTCCATCCCACATTTCTATTTTTTCTATCGTAGGTAATTTGGCATTTTTCAGGGGCACAGTTGAAGATTTACCATAGAGCAATTCCCTGTAAGTAATAACAGAGTAAGATATTAATTAATCACAATTTTATGGAGCAAAAAATGACAGTAAAATGTCAAGTCTTTATCTTTTGCTTACCTGAAGAAGTCAGCTAATCCTTGTTCACTGAAAGAACCTTTAAGTGGAGAATATTTCATGCTGCGATAATTCAGAGCAGCCATTGCCTAAAGAAACATTAAAGAGTTTGTTAGCCAATTTTTAAATACAATAATATTATTAGAGAAATAAAAAAATGGTGAGAAAACAAAAAATACAGAAATTCACCCAATTTATGCTTATATACTCACTGGGTAACCAAAGCCACCAATTCCAAATGCTTCTTCTAGATGTGGTTGAGCACCAGCTTCAGCCCAAACCCAGCTGTGGGGAGGAAAGAGGAAAACATGAATAAGCATTGAGAGCATAATGTGAGGAACGAAGGGGGGGAAAAATGTGCAAAATGACAATAGTGGATAAAGGAAAGGAGAAGTGGGGCAAGAAAACCTTTTTTATGAAATGTGCATGAACTTTATGAAGTGGGGATGTGACAATCATCTGAAAAGGGCTAGAAAGAACCAGGTAAAAAATGGCTACAAACTGAGCAAGTTGGCCATATAGATTATTGGGGAAGTGATTTGCTATTTCAGTGAAGAATTCAAATACTGACAATATCTCATCTTGACATATCATTTGGAAGTCTGTTGAGGCATTCATTCTGTAAAAATATATGAGGGGGCAGAACACAGAACCATACTTACCCCCACATTCTTCGTTTGTATTTCTCACCCATGGACTGGATTAGAGAAATGAATTTATTTCTGCATTCTGCTTGGCAATCATAGATGACGGGTAAAATTGAAATCACACACAATTGGCTTTTTTCACATGCTTCTTTCAGGACATTTTCATCAACAATCTGAAATACCAAGAAAGAGACATGATGAAGAGAAAGGAGGAAGAATGTTTTGGCAAGTGTTTTTTTAAGAAGGCAAACCATGTTTGGTACAAGACTATGTAGTGCTCAAGCATAAATTGTATTGGTATAGAACAAGAAATGGGAACTAAACAGACTTGTTGATGTTAATTTAAAACTGACCATGATTATATTTGAGGGGAGGTAAAAGGTTTTATCACAATACCTATGAATAAATGCAAATTAAGAAATTCCCTACTGAACCACCTATCATAGCATAATCATTGTTTACTAGGAGCCATATTGTAGCCTTGTGCCAGACGAGACAATCTTAAAAAGTTCATCTGAAAAATATTCTAGAACACTTCCCCACAAAAAAAAAAAACAAACACATTGTACCTAGTTGAACTAAGTTATCTCAAAGTTAGGTTTGATTCATTAAAGAACTTAAGCTAATTTTTGAAAACTAACTTGTTTATTTATTTTACACATTTATTAAAAAGGCAAAAAATAGGCCATATTATACACAATTATAAATTTTCAGAAATTTACTTGGCTTAAAAACACCTTGTTTGAAATGGCAAGATTGTAAATACTCAGCAATATAGATAAAACAAATTAAGTAGAAGTTGACAGTTGTTTACAAAGTGTATTTGATATGTTGGCAATATTGGTCTCTTCATTTTTCATAGTTTATTAATATGTAGAAATATAATAAAATCATATCAAACAGAAAATTAAAATAGATTAACAGCATAAAAATGTATTATTTGGACGGGTATGTTCCTTGTAAATAAGTTTTGAAACAGAAATTAGGAAAAACATACAATGGCTAAACATTTAGTTTTCTATTCTTTAATATTGTGAAAAAAAGTAAATATTTTAGTCAAATATATGTAGGACATTGAACTTGATAACTTTTCACAAAAAATTTACATAGGGATGGCTGTACCATGTGGTCATATACTCAAGGATGTAATTTATTCAGTTTTTAGCTTCAGAAACATGGAGTGATATTATACACAAGAAAACACAAGTCTATCTTAAAACCAGGCCTTCCCACATTTAACTGTTCATCAACTGGTGCAGAGTGGGAAACCATCCATGTTGTTATGCAACAGACATTTTAGTTTATCCCATCCAAGTGTGTGTGTGTGTGAGAGAGCGAGAAAGGAAAAAGAAAAAAGAAAAAAAAGGGGGATAACCAACCTCATTGACAGGAGGAGGAGGTATGTTCTCTGCTACCTTTTCCATAGCCCAATTCACAATGTCGGCTGAGGTTCGGCCGCCATCATATTCTTCAGCGCTGCCATCTTTTTTGCCTCCAGGGAAGTATTTGATGGTAGGAAAGCCACGAATCTTCAAAATTAAAATGTTTGGACTATTTTATAGACAAGCTCTAAAATTAGTAGACTGCAGTTATTGAAGAACATTATCAAACATGGATTTCTATTTAAGGAACAAAGTTTTTAAAAAAAATCTATTGAGTAATTCTAAACAATATTTTTCATTTCTTTAAGAGTTTTATACTTCCAAGAAAAAGAATTGGAATTTTTTTTTTTTTTTTTAAGAGAAACTTAGAAATCAACACTTTAATTATTTTACTATTAATTCATTTAAAAAGCATTTTTTTTTTATTTTTTATAGTTTTGTCATATTATATACATCAGATAAAAAGCATATACATGACAACTGAAAACATTAGGTAATGCCTTTATCACCATTTAAATGTAGTCAAAATAATATAAAAAACAGATCCCTAGCACTTTGGAGCAGGGAAACCTGAATCTGGAATCAAGAGAAATGTTTTGTAAAGCCACTTACACCATATCGGTTAGATATGACTTGGTGTACAGTTGCATCAAGAGCACCAAGTTTGACCTTATTTTTCAGTTCTGTAGCTGCACTCTGCCAGTGAGGGGCTAGATTCTTACAGTGACCACACCATGGAGCAAAGAATTCCACCAGCCAAATATCTTCACTGTTCAAGACAAGTTCTTCAAAGTTGGAATCTGTCAGTTCAATAACATCTTTTGCATTACCAGTCTACAAAAGCAAGAAAGATTTTATCTTTTTCATATACACAGAATATTATATTTTATCAGAATAAAAGATTTGTAAAGTTTTGAAGGTGAAAAAAATCAAACATGTTTTTAGTAATTTATAGTTTTTAATGAGTTTTTTTGTTAAACATTGGTTTGGGTTCTACTATAGAGAAAAAAAAAAAAAAAAAAAAAAAAAAAAAAAAAAAGAAGTGATGGAATGTGTATACCGGTGTAAAGTATATGATTTAATATTCAAACTAAATTGCCATTAAGAAAGCATTGTGGTTAACTGTAATAGTGCATTGTTTACCTTTATATCACAAGATAAAAAGATCCATTTGGTACCCAACAAATTTGAAGACTGGTCTAAATAAGGATCCTTATCTGAACACCTCCACCCACACATTGGTTTTCTTGTTTTAATGGCAAATAAAGAGTAAATTTTCAAGTGTTGGATTATTTGTTTTTTTAAAAACAATTTCCACACGTACCTTTCCTCAGATGGTTTTGATCTATTTGTTCCTATTGAGTTACCATTTCTTTCTTGAATACTGCTCATCTATGTAAATAATGTCGAATAAAGGCGACTGGGTAACTTCAGCCTCTGTCAACGAAAGAATGTGTGTGTGTGTGTCTAGCAAAGTATCCTTTTATCATAGCAAGGTCACCCAAACAATCAAGATAGTAGAATATGTCAGATTTCAAGTGTACAGAATTAAAACTAAACAAAAAAAAACAAAAACAACCACCATTCTGAAACACAAGAGAGGCACATTCTAAAGAACATTGCATATAGGCACATGGATTTTGTAAGGATATAATTGTCGAAATAGTAATCACGAATTTCATGACCCATCAGAGTCGTATGTGCACCACATGTACTGTAGCTGCAGAAGTGGTGTTTCTTGGGCAAGATAGCCCAACCCATTTCAGACTGGTTTGAATTCAGAGTTTTCTATTCCAAGGCTATAGAACCCAGTCTGTCCTCCTATTTAACCATAGCTGGAGGGAGAAGAAGATTCATACCATTCCCAAGAGTATTAGCACATAAGTGGATGTAATGGATCTGACCGGAATTTGAACTTGGTTCTCCAATTCTCAATCGGAGCCACTATCATTACTCCGCAGTGCCTTTTAAATAGCACAGGTGATAAATACTTCTAAAATAGCCACCAAATCCCCATGTGAGGATCTTCACAGGTTTGGGTTTGAATCAACAATACTAATAATCTAAAGAGAAGAGGCTTAAGACCAACAAGCTAGACTTAGGTATGAAATTATTTGCTTCAAATTACTCTTCACATTAAAGTGATTTGAAAACAATAGACAGACTTCAGGCTGCAGGATGTTTTTCACAGGTTGAATAAATCAATTTACTGGAAAGTTATGCATTTTTATTGGTTTGAAGGAATAGTCACCTTTCTGCCTCCTCCACTGCTGCCACCACCTCCACCACCACCATGCAACCTTTGACTCAGCATAGAAGAAATGTGTTTCTTAGCAGCTTCCACAAGACCATCCACAGTTCTGGGGCCTGTGTAAATAAAAGAATTGTACAATTTTAGATTTTGTGAAATCAAACATTTTTAAGAAAGGGAAAGAAAAACATTTCCAAATACTTCAAGTGATTTCAGGTTGAGTTTTGACAATCTCTATCCTATCATGACATACCTTACCATTTATCTTAACTGCTCAGTAAGTGGCACCAGAATGGCTATTATATCCACTGCCAATCATAAATGCTAGTAATTCAAGCCACCAATTCTGTATAAAGTGATCAACATTAAGCTATCAATTTAAAGCTCAATACAATTTGCCCCTCAAAAACAATCTTTGTTTATTCACAAATGTGAATATTGACAAAACTATTGAGATAATCAGTAACTGTTTATAAACAGTTTGATTGCACCTCCATCTATCAAATGTAATATTTTCAGGAAATTACTACACACCTGTAAGGCTGAAGTCCTTTTCTATGATCATAATGATATTTATACTCAAACTAATGGTGTTAGCATGAGAAATCCATAATCATAAACAAATGACGATACCAAATGTCAGAAATTGCATCACTTGAGGACTTTCAACAGCAGCAACAACTAAAATGGACAGCACATTAACAGAAAATAATGACAATCAAAATGTTGCTGTTCCACACTACTTGAAACAAAAGGTTAGGAAGGAAACCATCAATACTGGAAAGAGCAATAACAATAACCGACTTAAAAAAAAAAAAAAAAAAAAAAAAATTTTTCATGAAAACAAGTAGAAGGATTTTATAAATTCAACTGAAAGTATCACTGGCTGCTTGAACAAGGAATAACAAATGTTCCCTTATAAGGAAATAGCTACCATAGGAAACAGTTTTGTGAATAAAAGGTGGCATTTTGCTGTATGGTAACAATGCATGTTCTATGTTGCAAACAATCTCAATAAAGTTGAATGAATTGAAAAGTGAAGAGGGGGAATTTTATTGTTCTCTGTCTATTCATTCACCTCTCTTAGGGATCATAAGTTTTAAACTTGGTTACATGTGTTCTCTGAGAGTGAAATATATGTAGGAGAACAAAAATCATAACATTAGTAGAAGTTAATAAATATTAATTTATGTAATTTTAGTTTGGCTTTCAAGTACAGGACAAACTTACAGCTAATCTTCAAAGTTTATCTGTTCTCCATAAACACATTTGCTCAAGAGTCATCATCACACTCATACTTTGCAATTCTAAAAGATTTTTTTGTGGTGTAAGGGAGATAAAATCTAAACACCCGCTCCCTAACCCCCCCACCCAAAATAATTAAGAATCCGTTTCCCTTGAGGGAAAAAAAAAGAAGAAAAAAAAAAAGAAAGATACAAACCATTATAGTCTTCTGGCCTTTGTTTGTTGCTTGCAAATATTTTCACTGTTGGGAAACCCTGAATGCTGTATTCGCCAGCTAAGCTTTTATGGTTATCAGCATCCAAATAACCAAGTTTTACAATACCCTTGATGAGAAAAAAAAAAAAAAAAAAAAAAAGAAAGAAAGAATCCATTAAAATGCATCATTACCACACAAAAGCCTTAATGCTAACAAATGATACTTTTAAAACTATCAGAGACAAGACAATGTTGCATTTCATCTCATATTGAAAATTTTTTTACATACAGAAAAAAAGCATTTGTTACGATCTTAAAAAGTATTAAAACTAAGGACAGTTAAGAAAATAGCCTACTATTGAGCAGGACGCCTGAGAAAGGCCTAATCTAATATTTTGTGTATAATATATGATGCAGGAGGCTTGACTTATAATGTAAGGTCTCAAATAAAAGACATGTATTTTCCACACTTTATTGAAATGATTATAACTTCTCACTTGAAAAAAAGAATTTTTAAAACCCAAATGTATTTTCATTGGATAACCAAAAAATTATAAAAAAAACAAAAAAAAAAAAAAAACATTTGAAATTCGTATGCAAAAAAACGAAAGTATTTTAATTAAAAAATTGCACAAACACAACTACCTTATTTTTATTGAACACACACACACAAAAAAAAAAAAAAAAAGAAAACCATCAATAAATGAGAAGCAAAAATACTCAATTTGATTTTTTTGAGTGCATTTGGTTGAAACATGATAAACAACATGCTTTTTACATTGAAATAGAAGTTTTCTATACCATTTGACACTTTTCTGTACTGGGCTGTAATAAGAAATCATTTGATTAGATAGATTAATTCCTCCCTTTGCTTTATTGTAGCCTAATATGACTGTTGGTTTCATGATGTTATTACCTTCATGTACCCTCACTTTCCTGGAAATCGGGTCCATGGGAAGTTGAAACCATGATCACAATTTTTTTATCCATATAGCTTATAATAATGATTCCATCTTTGTTCACTGCCACTTTTACTTCATCTTTTTTTTCAGTTTAGCATCTTTTACTGTCATAGGTAGACCCTTTCTGTTGGATCTGATTGTCCCACAATATTCAGTATATATATATTTTTTTTTTTTGCATAAGTAATTCATCAAAGGAATACTACCGTACCAGTTGTCAGTTAACAAAAGTCTTCTTTTGTTTAGCAATAGTTCTGCCAAACTTACAGATCCAGGATCATCTAAGCCAAGTATCATATTTTCTTTTCCAGTTTCACAATATATAGAAAAATCCTGCACATAGCCTGTCATCTCAGCAACATTTTTATCCCATATTTAAATTAAAGTCTACCTCTATGAGAGATCCGAGTCATCAACAGAAATTTCACCAGCAGGCACAAATATAATTTGAATATTTGAAGTAAGATATCTTATGCAATCTATCATTTGATTGTGCATCAAGGTTATTAGCAACATGCCAATTTTTTTAGTATGAGGGGAGAATCTGTTTTAACTCATACCAATTTGATAATATAAAGGATTTTTTGCTGCAATAATCTTCCATAGTGGGAATATTTATCAAATCTGTAACTAGAATTATTTCAAGAAAGATATTCATTATTCATTTATTTTGTGATAGTTGTGTATCTAGAATAAGATGGAAGGCTAAGTTTATTTTCTATATACTGTTGTACATATCAATTGGTCTCAATAACCATTAGTTCTATAATGGCACCATCAAATAATTGATTGAACACTTCAATTGGTGTTACATTGCTACTATCATCATGTACAATCTTTTTCTTCAACCCAGAATTACCAGTAAAAGTATATTGGGCTCTAGCAGTAAAACATTATCTTTTTGGCCAGGTTGATTTTGTACCACTAATCAATTCTGTCCCACTGGTTGATATTGTATTACTGACTAAGCAGAGTTACCATTTTCTGTATTAGTAAAATCTGAACTAGATTCTGATGATGTCTCATAATCATCTGATGATGCATTGTCATTACCAGGCTGATATTCATTTTCATCAGGGGCATAAGATGTCATCAATCTTTTCTAGAGTTCTTTTAGCATAAAAATGTAAAAGAATCCATTATAGGAGTTCTTTTTTATTTTCTTTATTAGATTCTGAAAAAAATATAGATTGAGTAGTAATTAAAATTAAACATTTTTCTGTAAACTATTGCCCGTTTTCAGATTTATAACTGTTGCAAGGAAACAGTTTATTTGGAAAACAGAATGTGCTGATATATAGCGTTTCACATCATAAAATCCTGTGCATCACTTGTGATACAGAGCGTAGTGTAAATAACTTATGATTTGCATGTTTTTATTATATGAAACTATATATCAGCACATTTTATTTGCCAAATAAGCTGAGTTGCCTTGCAGTAGTTATAAATTTGAAAATAAGTATGAACATTTAGATAGTACACATGGAAATGCTCTGGACAGGCAAAGGGTCAAGAAAGTTATTACTGACATTCACTCATTAAATTTTATTTTCAAAAAAAAAAAAAAAAAAAAAAAGTTTGGTTACTACAAGATTCTCTTTTTGTTTAAAATTTTCTGGATTCATTGTGAAACAGTGTAATGTGGACATAGGAATCAACACACGTGTGTGTGTGTGGGGGGGGGGGAGGTTACTTAATTTCCTTGGTCAATGACCTTAATTAATCACAAATTGCATACAGTGAAAATTTTCAGATTAATTTAGCTAATAACTACAGGCTTATTGCTCAACTACTATAGGCATCCAAGTTTCTTCACTAAATTTTTTTAACCCAAATCGCCCTGGTCAACTAACAAATGGGAACAACATACTTATATTTGTTTTGTAAAGCATGTATACAGATTAACAAATAAATGAGTAACATACAAAAGCAGATGATAAAAAAGCCATTATCCAAAAAGTTATTTTTCAGTAGTCTTAGCCAAGAATTATATTTTCCAAACATCCAATATGCACTCATTACAATCAATAATAAAAAAAAAATTTTACACACTTGAATGTACTGTTTTTTTTTCTTTGTACATATAGATGCACTTCACTATCAGATAGTGCAGTAGACTATTACTATCATGAAGCAAATGATTCTCACCATGTTTGTTCCAGACTAAGCTAAGGGAGACATTGAAGTGAGGTCATTGATTTTTTCATATGAACTTTCATTTATTCATCAGGAAATAAAATTTAATTTGTCCAGCAGATATTTTGGTCAAATGTAAAAGAAAAGGTTCCTTACCGTCATAACTTTAGCTGCTTTGAAATATTCTGGTTTGAATGATTGACAATGTCCACACCTACATGAGGAATAAGACAAGCCGAGATTAAAACTGATACAACACTTTGAGACTGGCTAAAAAAGTATAATGATAACAGGATATTTTGCATTCACCTGTAATGATAGCAACAGGTATTAAAAAACATACCAAGATGGGCTGAAGAAAATGAGGCAGATGATATGAAGTTGGTAGTATCTAAAGAAAAATTCTATTGCTTAACCAATGAAGAGTAAGAAGAGCCCAAATCAACCTAATACCAACTTGAAAATGTTACCTTTGTGCCTAAGCATTGAAGGTGATGGCTTTTGCTAACATTTGAGATTTAATTATTCACAATTTTGACAAGATATTGCTTACAGTTTAAATATAAACTTTAAAGCAACATTATAGAAAATTAGAACTATTTTTCAGTACAAAAAGTACCAACATTAAAAACACTCAGTGGTGATGGCAACTGAGAAAATTTAGTCAAGTACTCATATATATTATATATAAAACAAAAAACTCACCATGGTGCATAGAACATAACAATCCAAAGTTCATCACTGTCCAAGACTTTAGATTTGAAGTTACTAGGGTCAAGATCCACAACCTGGGAATTGGTAAAGCTAAAGCAGCACAGAAGAACTAAAAAAAAAAAGAAGAGAAAAATAAAGATTTATATACATATATCTTGATAGAGTTTGAAAACAAAATAAGAAACTAAAATGTGCTGCATATTTCCAAATGGCCAATCTGCTTAATTCCAACATTAAACAGTTGATTGATGAGAAGATCATATTCTGAAGGCATATTAAAATATTTTCATAACTGAAAAGGAATGAAGTAATTGGGTCAAATTCATACAGGAGGAGGATCGACACTGTACAAACCTTTTGGGTAGAGGAGTTGTGGGCAGGGATAAGGGAAACAATAGAGTTCGTTAACCTGTCTTAATGGCGAGGGGGGGGGGAGTCTCAAACTTAGAATTCAAGACAAAACCAATTCTTTCAATTCCATAACCACTACAAATAATACATTAACATTTTTTCAAAACTAATGAAAATAAGAAATTCATCCAGCCCCGTCCACACCCCAAACAAATTCATTGCAATTAGTTCTGAACAACCACCCCCAGGAACTGAAACATTCAAATTGAAGTCAGGAAGGGAGTAAGTAAGCAGAAGTACTTGAAGATAAGTGACTTATGAATAGTAAATGTTGACTTCAACAAATGGATACATATAGACATTGGAAAACTAATATCTACAACCAATTTGACCAAAACTTGTAAGATATAACCTATGCAGTTCCTCAAAACACACAGAAAGAGTTGGTATGAGTATGTTTGTGTAGACTAGAAATTACATGCAACATGCAATGTAAATTAATCCTGACTAGGTATAGTGATTTAAGGAAAAAAAAAAATCACATCAAGTGACATAAGTAGGCAATTATATTCTGAAAATATTCATTAAGAGTAACAACCTTATTGGGTGGAGGGGGAGGGGGGGCGTAGAAGAGAATGGCGGGGGGTATTTTTAACTCATCAAAAGCATAGACAGAATATACCAACAAAGAACTGTAAACAATTCATGTGCACTCATCAGAATCACAAGCAGCCTATGCCTGTTTGTGAATAACAGCAATTATTGCAATGGAGGACATTGGAGATATTACAAAGTTTTCCATTTATGTCAGTCTCATTGAAAATTTAAAGAGAAAAATAACATTAAAATCCGAGAAGTGTCTAAAGACATTTAAACATGTTTAGAAATGTTATTATACAAATCAGGTTCAACAAGCATGAAACTGGGAGGAAGTGCTCAACATTGATTATAGTCAGTTTTTGGCAATAACCTTTGGACTGAATTTAGCTCCAAGTTGTTACAAGCCTAATATAATTTAATTTTTAATTATTTGCCTACAATTAAGTAGGTGTAGATATATACATCTGAAGAGAAAAATCTATTCATAGTCTATATATTTTGTCCTCTGAGGAACTTTATCAAGACAATGTAGGATTGAACATTCATAAACATTATCAAATTTGAAAGCCTTGATAAACCAATAACATCTTCACCTTTAGATATAGACATGTGCAACAAAAATCCTATATTGCCTTTGATAAAGTCCCTCAAAGGATGAGAATAGTTTTTCCCCTTGTCTTATTCATTTTGTTCTGTTATAGATACACTATCTTAAATTTATACATACAATTTACTAAGCTTAGTTTAGTATGGCACAAGGCCAAATTGCATATTCAGTGTTTTCCAATTAATAATAATCTAAGTTGTCCCAGTAGTACCCATAGATATTTGCTTAACTTTTTAAGAAGGTAATCCAGGAAGGCTATATGTGAAATTTTATGATAAAGGATCTACAATCTGATAAAATATTTTTATTACCATAATACTAAAAAGGTAAATACTACAAATGGTGAAACTGTGCAAAGGAAAGAAAATTTAAAGATGTAGCATGAACATTTAATACAAAATAACCCCCCTCCTTGAAACAAGTTCACTTCATGAGCATGGCAGCAAGTTTTAATTTGCATTAATGACATTATTTGTTAAATATGTTGTCAATAACAATGTGAATATTTAGAAAGTTATACAGAATTTACATAAATGCAGTCCTAATACAAATAAGATTGTTCAATGTCCATGAAAAGAAGCAACAATTACAAAGTGCTGTTCTTTTCTGCTTTTGACAAATTATTCAGCTATATTGTCAATTGACATTTTATGCAGGTCTAAACAGACCCCTATCAAACACTGAAATGCATTAAATATGCAGAAAAGCTTAAAGCTTAAATATGCAGAAAATATTCATACAGTGATCAGCATGCTGATTTTAGAAGCTACCGATAAGGATCTCATTTCACATTACATGTTTTAAGAGTGGGATCAAGTACAAAATCTGTCCTTGACACACACAAAAAAAAAGAAAAAAAAAAAAAAAAGATACTTATGACATTTGTACAAACATTCCCTATAGCCTTGTATAGAATTCAATATGAAGAATTCAATTCAGTATTTCCTAGCCCATGAAATTGATGTAAAATAAGCTAATTGGTTTCTCTACAAGAGAGCTGTATATCTAATTTCTAGAGAAATTTTTTATTTTAGCAGCATATCAATCTATTTGGGTTATATAATGCCAAAATCTAAATATTTTGAAGACTATGGCTTCAACTACAGTGAAAATGTATTGTTGGTCATTTTTTTTTATGCAGAAATGTATTGGTGGTATTTTTATACTTTCATAGTGTTTTATTTTAGTTTGGAGGTTCATTATTTGCCCATAGCTGGGACCCTAACAAGTGCTCCCACCCCAGGTCAAGATGGACCTGGAACAATAGCTTGTTTTTGTTTTATGGCACATCAACCTCAATGGGCTATTTAATGCTGACAAAATGTTTTTCTTCAAAAATCTATTTCTGGTAATATTTTTCCTTGAAGAAATGTATAACTGGTCATTTTTTTCAAAGAATATATAACTGTTTGTATTGCTGGTATTTTTTTTTTTTTTAAGTATTGCTGATAATAATTTTTCCTTCAAAACTTATTGCTGGTAATAATTTCTTTTATTACAAAGTATTTCTGGTATTAAAACCTATTTTTACACAAGTTTGGGTGTTAACTATTTGCCCATAGCTGGGACCCTAACAGGTGCTACCACCCCGGGTCAGTGTGTACCTGGGAACACCAGCAATTAAGAGGTGGTCCCATGCTCCTCAAAACCTCCTGATCAGAGGCCTTGCTGTTGGATGTAGTTTATCGTCTTATCCAGGACCCTGGAACAATAGCAATTAAGAGGTAGTTCTATGCTCCACAAAATCTCTAATCTTGATGCCAGATTACAGCTTGCTTGCAAAGTTTTTGTCTTGGTCATAGTCACCAGATAATTACACTTTTTGATGAACATTTCACTTTCAGTCTTTCTAGAAATCTCTAAAAGGGTGGCAAAAAGCTAAAACAAAAGTCCATTGTTCTATATAGTAAACCTCAAAAATAATTTTTTTTTTTTTTTTTTTTACTTACACTGAAGAAATTTTGGGGTTAGCCAATAAATGCACCAAGGTTGGAAATTTTCAAATTTAAAGTTAGTTTAACATTAAACTCTTACTTTAATAAATTAGATTAATTATAATTAAACATTCAAATCTAAGCAGTTAAAAATTAAATGAAAATAAACTAAAAAATATTGTAATATTTTTGTTGGTAATTTAAATAAAAATGGTTAAAAATTGATATTGATTACTTTGGTTCCTATGACAACAAGGTTTGAAAGTTTGTTTTTTCTAGGTTTGTGTGTGTGTGGGGGGGGGGAAGAAGAAGCAAACTTGTATAAATAATAGATTTTTAAATTAATGCAAATAAAAAAAAATGTCAGGTGTTTTTACTCGCATACTTCATGCTTAAAAGAATTTTTATTTACCGTATCTCATATTTCGTGTAATGAAAGCCGTAATAAACCGCTGTAAAATTTTTAGATTAAAATTTCAAATATATTTTTTTCACTATAAAAAAAGTTTCTTTAAAGACTAGTTATTTTTAAATTTTCATTAAATAATTTGAGGTAATTTTTAGAATTTGAAACATTCAAATTAAATTTTACATAAACTTACGAATAAATGGCAATAGGAATATAAATAAACAAAAAAACCGGAAGATTTTAAAAGCTTCCTAACCCAAATCTAACCTACGGAACCGAAAACTTAAATAAATTGCTTAACTTAAGTAACCCCATTTGTTATTTAGATTCCAATCAGTAATGACATTTTAAGTGTTAAAATATCATTTGTATCGATAACCAAAGAGTAATTATTACTTTAAATTAAAATTGCCAGCAAAAAACGTAAAATGTTAAAAATTCAAACTAAATATCCTCAAATACCGGACAAATTTTTTAAACACACATCATTTTTTTTTTTGTAGGGTGAAAGAAAAAAGGTTAAGGGGGGAAAAAAATGATCTAAATTTTTTTTTCGTCCCCAATCCGAACACGTGTCTTTAAAGACAATTTAAAAACATTTATCTTTAACTGAAAATAAAAGAGGGGGTCATATTCTGATATTAAATCTGATGAGATTTTTAACAATAAAACGGCAATGATTTTTTAGACAAAGTCACAAAATAATGACAAAGCATAAGAAGTCTTTAAATCAATTTGAATATAAATTCTTTTTTTTTCGCGTAGTAGTCGGCAAACTAGAATCATTTGCGAAAATAAAAATTTCAGAAACCAGCTTTTAACATTTTTTTCACTATTCAGGCAAAAGGAAAAAAATCTTTCATGAAATTAAAAACAATAACAAAGAAACCGATATTATTTATTTTAGAGAGCGAAAATTACCAGGGCTCCCAGACTTACAAAAAGGGGTCAAGTCATGAATAGTCAAGTCAAGTGAGTCAAGACTCAAGCGTGGATAATGTTTGTTTGTTTTTTTTTAAATTTCTACTCAGAGGGAGAACGGTTTTTATACTTTAAGAAAATTTCCAAAAGTTCTTATTTCAAGAGAATATCTAAGAACCATCAATTCATAAAAGTAAATAAAGAAAAACAACTTTTTTTTTCTACTTACGGGTAAGAAGCAAAAGAGGCGAGGTAGCCTCCATGATCAATCGACGCGTCAGTCTGGCAAACACAACTATAAAGTAAATAATTGTTGACAATAAATACTGCAAGACGTTGGGTGGAGGAGATAAAACTACAAGGGACGATATGTCACTCAATTAGGCAAGACAAAATTAGGAATCTACCGTTGTGAGAGCCAAGAGAGAAATGCCGTGTCTCTGTGCTTTCAGGCGATGGACCCCGGCCGATACGCGACAGACAAACCGACTCACGTGGTCTTCGCTGATTGGTCGATTCCTTCCTCTGACGTGGCGTACACACACTAGGGACACATACCATTAAACAAGTTTATGGGAAGATTTTTTTTCCGTTTTTCTTTCATTCTTTACGTTTTATCAATTTATATATGATCTGTTCTTTGTATTTCACTAGGTTCAAATTCAAGCCTGAATTGCATCAGTAGCTAAAGATATATGTTATTTTCTTATGCAATTATCATCTCTTTTTGTCTGCTAATTTTCAATTTAGTTTCACCTTGATTTTTTCCACTTTTTAAATTTTTATTTTCTGCTTCATTTTCTTGAAATGTTAAACAGTATAATGAAATGGTAAGGAATATTGTTCTGTTAATATTCCAAGTGGGAAGAATCTGTTAGTACAGGAAATTAGCATTTCAAATCCAGGTTCTTGAACACTTCAGACTGTAGTGTTTGTGAAGAAAAAAATATTTAAATATCTACATAAATTGAGATTTGTTAAAAGGAACAAATTATACAGATTTGACTTATAGCATACACATTAGAACACATTATATTAATTAATAAACTTCAGACAAAATAAAACCTTTTTTATAATGAAAATTATTATTGCTAAACTATTATAAAAATTTTATTTTACCACTTTTAAAAATGTTAGTCTTAAATCAATGATTCCCAACATGGGGTACATACCCTACTGGTGGGGCATGGTAATATTTTGGTGGGGCATGCATAGGATGTACACCCCCTTGCCTTACTATACCAACAGAATAAGCAAGCAATTTGAGAATGAGTTATTAAATATTACGTGTGTGTGTGTGGGGGGGCACCAGAATTTTAGAAATACCAAAGTGGGGCATGCGCCAAAGTTTGTTGGGAACCACCGTCTTAAATGTTTAATGATCTAGGATTTTTTTTTAGAACATTGTGTATTTTTATGAAGGCCAGATGGTTTTGTGTAGGGTCTTTGTAAGTCTAATTTTCCAAATATATAGAGCTCAGGTTAGTAGATGCAAGGAGAAGACTTTTTGACAGCAAGGGAACAAAGCAAATCAACATCAAGGAGCAGAAGGCTTTTGACATCAAGAAGGAACCAGTTACCAGTTAGATGCAGAGAGACTAAAGAATTTTGAAGTTCAAGTGCAAATTTTCTTGTGGTTGGACAGCAAAGAATGAAAAAGAATTTAAAGAAATTTTCCCAAGCACAAAAAGTGTGAATTTAAAAGGGACTTTTAGCATCCCGATACCACTTTCTTATGAATGTTGAATTTTGTACAAATCTGTGCAAAAAAGAGGATCAAAACTTTACCCAGCTTCATACAGATTTTCAGGAAATACCAGCTTCTAATTGGTCAATAAACACACAAGTGGGTGTTGCAATCCACCCACGTACAAATATTTTTCCAGCGTGTGACCAAGTTTTCCTGTCATGTTTCCAGAAGCCTACCATGTGATTAAATTAATTATAAATAGCAGACATGAGTTTGCTAATTCTTCATCTTCTCTCTTCTCTTTTCTTGTGAAGATGTAACCTTAAAGGATCCTGTCTTGGCCATGTGTGGTCAGATGTTAAAACCATATTCATGCATGCATGTACGTACAAAATTTTCCAAACTACATTACAAACATACAAAACATTTACAAACAAGGAACAAGAACTTTTCTCTTTGAAATACTTTTCTAAAGCTACAGTTTATTCAGCATTTCTCAGCTTTATAATTCATTCAACTTTTGTGAACTCAGATAAAAATATTTCAATTTCATCACTAAAACTTTAAATCAGGCAAAGGGACATAACACCAACAAAATAGTAACCTCTACGCATGCACATTGTGGACTCGCGCAGGGATTCCACCTATTTTTACGTGCGTACGCGTATTGCACCCCTTCCTTTCACTTTCGGCTAGACATAGTAGAAAACCAGAGGTTGCTGGCTGCTGCTGATTCCAGCTAGAACGGAATTTGAAGTTTTCCCGCGCATTCTCTGATGTCACTGACGGACGTGGTTTTTCAAATCAGTCGCTGCCTGGTTCCAGAACAAGAAGGTCGACTCATTTATTTTGCGCCCCTTACCCATACGTGGGCCGGAATATCTTAACTAACCAAAAACTTCCTAGTGACTCCTTGGCTCATTATACCGAATCTTTTCATGTGATTGCAACTTTCTTCGAACAACTTGTTTGAACCTTCCTTCATTTTCTACCAGAGAATGTAGAGTCTACAACATTGTCGTCATCACACTTTTAAAAAGACTAATTCATCGTCCTTCTGCGAACAACTTGTTCGAACTTTCCTCCGTTCACTATTAGGGAATGTAGAGTTTTTCGACACGGCCGATTGATGAATTTCACAAACACCTTTTGAACTCTAACCTTTACTTAACCAGTTTTAAAAAAAAGATAACATTACGCACACATTATAAGTGAGTATTTTCCTTGTGTATGCATGTACCTTTTGTATAAGAAGACTCTGTTCAGAACTTTCCTTGTGAAGAAACTTTTCCGCTTAGCCATTTTGATTTTCATTTTTGCGGAACATTAACATTCTATTACTGACTACTTGTCACTACATTATACAATTTGCCTACTGGCTAAGAACTGGCTTTACCTTTCTGATAGTCTCCACTGTTTGAGACAAAATATTTGTTATTAAAATAAAGTTTTATGGTTTGTTTTCCACCAGATTCGTTTTCGTTGTTTCCTCATGGCTATCTATATTTTACTATTTTTATGCATGTGTTGAATGACCCTTTTTCCTCACTAAAGATCACACATTTATTATTTTTACTTTGCTAGTGAATTCGGTAGTCGTGAGTAATGTCTGGCACAAGGCCACCTTTTCGTAGGCCAGCACTGCATGCTACCGTGTCTGCTAAAACATCATTACACAAAAATAAATATAAATGTTGTTGTTATAAAACTCTTTTTGTTCCTTCTTGTTGTTTCACATTTTGTGGTATTTTGTGTTAAATATAAATTGTGTGGTCACGTTAATAAACAGACATCTACAAATGGTCCTATATATTAACATACTTCAACAGACTTTTCAAAAATGACTATATTTTCCTAGAGACACTCACGGGGCAAGTGAAAGTAGATATTTTGGTTTTTACTCAAAGGTGGTTGCACCTTTGTTGTTTTTTGCCTTCTTAAATTTGTAGGGGCGCAGAACATATTTGGTTTATTTCTCTCTCTGGAGATAAAGCTGGCACAAGGCCACCTTCAGATGTACTTTCCAAATAAAACCTCTTTCCGTATTTAATTTATGAAGATCAAAAACTCTTGACATTAGACAAGAAAGGAGAAATAATGATTCATAAACATCTTGTTTCAAAACATAACAATTGAATTTATTAGTGTTTGGTATACATGCATGAATACTGAGTGAAAAGGTAGGGCAGAGTCGTGTCCCTTTGATTAGGTAAATAGTTGTACCTAAGTTCATATTAAAAGGAAGTAATTATTAAACTGTAATAGAAGAATGAGTTCGTATTGAGTGTTTGGAATTGTATGAACAAGTTAGGTAGAGTTCAGAGATAATACTGGCATGAATTAAGTATTGTTCATTTAACGTCTGACTGGATCAGTCGAGACGAGAGTTCCTTTAGGGTCACATTTTGGCAGCGTGTTGAGATGTACGAGTAACATAGATAAGTTAGGCTAGAGTCAGGAAGAGCAGGAAGAGAGAGAGAGAATATCACACGTGTTGGGTTTATATATCTGCCTGTATCACATGGTAGGATCAGAATTGACTTGGCGCCTAAATTGACTCTGCACGTGAGAGCGATCTGATTGGTTAAACTGACCAATCAGCAAGTTGGATGTACTGTGATTGACCAATGGTTTCTCGTTGGTATTTTGTATGGTTAGGATGTTACTTACCAGATAGGAAGAGTGCATTTCTAAACTGTACAAAGGCTGGTTTTGTTGTGGAAAATTCCACAAATTGTTTTTCTCTTTTTGTCTTTTTCAAAATCCTTATCTTTTTCCAAACTATAATTTTTTCCATTTTTCTATGGTCATCTTTGTAATGACAAAAGTATGCATGTGTAGGCTTTAAGAAAGCTTTACTCAACTGAGTTTATTTAATTCTGAAACTCCAGAATATGTGGCACAAGGCCGAAATGGAGGAGGGGGAAGAGGTCGGTCTTCTGTCTTAACTTGAAACTTAGCTAGCCACAAATGCTGATCCAATCATATCAACAATATTCCTTGCACCAAAACAACACATTCTTACATACCTTTCTCACCACACCCACCATAATACCTCAATGTCTCAATGAAATACTAACTAGACCCCATATGTACAATATATCGTCTGTGTGGGGAGGGGAATAAAACAACAATATTAAAATTTTTAAAACTAGCCCCAATGAGTATTTACACAATGAAATAAAGCTATTTACAAGAAACTAAACAAAATGATGTTAATAATAAAACACCTACAATCTCTAAATGTGGCAGAAACATCAGTTAACTGAACAAAATCAATGCGGGACTATAATAAAATGAAACAATCATTCATCCCAAGCATTCACATGGACACACACTCATTCACACAACAACAAATACGAAAACACACACTCGAAATGAAAAACACCCCGCATCCACCAGAGAACTGATGTTACTGACCACCTAACGAGGAAGAGGATGGGGAATTAAACTTAAATAAAAATAGGGACAGAAATAAAAGGGGCCAATGAGCATATATACCCTAGCTAATTTTAATAAAAAAAAAAAAAAAAGAAAGGAAACTAAAGAATCAAAACTAAACCTAAGCTAACCTAATTTTGGGATGGTTTGCCCGTGTTCAACCCAGGCAAGCAATATCCTGATGCCTAACTGGCATGAAAGTGCCACTCCAGGTCAGCCCCTTTCACATGACACAAACATGCAAGATTCACCCACCTTTTGCCGAATTCTGATGAAGTGAGTCACCACCTTTTCATTCTAATCTTAACCTTAAGCTGAGGCTTAAAGTATAAGATCAGTTGGGAAGAAGTGAACTTCTTACCTTCATAGAATCCCTCTCACATGTCGTCCAAATCACGACTCTCATAACACCACTGATGCCTAACTGAGGATACAAGGTTTGCGTATAGTGTCTTTTTATAGTCTCAGTAAACAGAAATATTTCTCTCAAAGAGGAGAGTAACAAACTTGCCTTAATAGATGCACAAAAGGACATTTTTATGCAAACTTTGTATTTTCATAATTGTGTAATAAATGTGTTTCCCTTTTAAAATTTTATGCAGTGGTTGAGTCTTATTTTGTGATTTACACATATTATGACTTGCTATTCCTACTAGCTAAGTTTTTGTGTTTGACACAAGAACTTAGATTTGGTGGGGAATAAAATTTTAGTATTATGATATTCCTATTGAGGGCATGCCAACTTAAAATAAAATTTAATTAAATTAATACCTATAGAGAAAGATAAAATGTATACAACATATATGTAATTATTAATCTGCAAAGTTTCAACTTTTAGGTGTTTATAGTGATTACATTTTTAGAAATTTTATACTCTTCAATTAATATACTTTCAAATAGAAATTAACATATCTCTGTTAAATAATTATCCTTGTGTCTCCTATTTGGACCATGATTTTAATATGAATAGGAGACAATCTATCAAGTCATTAGTCAAAGTAAAACAAAAATATTTTCAGCAAAGTTTAACATTCGTGCCTGCAGAAAAAATGGATTGTCAAAAGGATATTTTTACTACCTTCACTTCTTATCAATGTTGATTGTTTTAAAAAAAAAGTGATGGTTAGAATTGTAATAAAACCTAAGCATATGAAAGTGAATTGATACAGTTTCTGTATCTTGAAAATTGACAACAAAAATAATAAGCATTATTTGATTGTTTATTGGATAGTTGGCAAACACATTGACTAATTGCTAATCAATTTGAACTTAATAAAATGGTGAATAATAAGGATTTTGTTATAGTTGGCTCACACATTTTTATAATTTAGTAAATGTTTATAAATGTATGAATAAAAATTGTTTTCATATTTAATTCTTTATAAATTGATAAATGATAAATATTGCATTGCATTAGATTTTTTAGAATGTGGTAAATATAAAGTTATTCTTCTAAATAAACAATCTAATAAATAAATTATGTTTAATATTTTTACTGTAAATTCTCAAGAACAAAAATAATGTATAAATTCACTTTCATCATATGTTTAGGTTTTATTACAATTCTAATCATTGCTTTTTAAAACAAAAAACAACAAAATTGCTGAGAATGCAATGATGTCAAGGGCAAACTGTCTTTTTGACACACCATTTTTTTTTGCAGGCATGAAGGTTAAACATTGCCAAATTTTTTTTTTGTCATGTCTATTTTCTGTAACATGAAAACTTGAAGAGAAGGAGCTAAACGGAAAATATTCTCTGCAAAACCACATTAATTTGCAAATATAATTTTTTTTTTATTGCACTTTATCTATTTTCTTCTTTCTTTTTTTGTGGATATCTTGAATATTTTGCCAAGGCCAAATCTTCATCTCCATCAACCTTTAACATGACAAGCCTCTTTTTTATTTTCCTAAATTCTCTCCATTTAAAAAAAATACTTGATTTTATTATTTTATTTTTAAAAATTTAATTCTGTTCTTACACACCATAATTTTATTTTCCTTTCAGACCATTTTCTTGATTTCTACATTACAATATTTCTATATTTATTTCTTTTTCAACTATGTAAGTATTTCTCTTTTGATCCTTGTTATTTATTTTTTCCTTCAACCTTTATTTCTTTCCTTTTATATTATTTTTCTTATGCTCATTTTAATCAGACCTCTTTTTACTTTTTACCATGTCTACTTAATTTTTCGATTGCTTCTACTTGATTCCTTTTCTTCAATTTCCTTGTTATTTTCTTTTACTTGATATACACATGGAAAGAGAGACTGAATAATTCTCAACGAGGGCTCATTTCCCAAAATCTGAAAAATATCCAATCAGATATTTATTTTTTTAAGAAGGGTTTCTTGGCCAGGCTGAGAGCATTTTTTTGTACCTGTGTATATAGATTTTTTTCTTCATTTAAAAATAGTAATTTTTTTATTATATGCCAAAAAATTCAAGGTCATAAATACATATTTTCCTAAATTGAAAAGTTACTATTTATGAAGAAAGTATTTGTTTTTCATCACTGACTTGATTCTTGAGAGCATTGGTAATGTATATATTTTTCTACAGATTATTGACAAATTTTTAAAATCATTTCACCTCAAGCAAGGCAATAAAGCCACTAATATGCAGGTGGTTACAGAGTATGAAAGAATATAAGAAAAGGAGAAAGATTTCTCGGCCAGGCTGAGAGCTTTTTTTTGTACCTGTGTATATAGATTTTTTTTCTTCATTAAAAAATAGTAATTTTTTTATTATATGCCTAAAAATTTAAGGTCATAAATACACATTATCCTAAATTGCAACCTTTTTTATAATCCACAAGATTCTACTGGAGTGAGGTTAATAAGTCAGGTGACCATTACAAGAGATCAGCATCATGAACCCAAAACCCTTTTTTGAAAAATTTGAAAAAAAATATATGTAGCAGCATGGTACCACACAGCATATCATCCTGCATGAAAAAAAAACTCTGTCATCGCTTATCTACATCAGTGGTGGAGATGGAATAAAATTCCATTCAATATATCAAAATTGA